AAAGAGGCAGGGTCGCTTCAGTGCATCATACGAGCAGATACTCACAAGGTTCTCAAGGAGAGGGGAAGAGAACATCAGTGCTGCTCTCGTCCTGCTCTTCACTGTCTGGATTCAGCGTTGGAAGGACCACCAAGGAATGAGCCTGGAGCAGGGCATTAGGTAGTTCAAATCTACACAAAACAGCCTGTGCGGGAGTTGGCTGTCATGCTATTAAATATGATGTGCCCCACCATGCAGAAAAGGCTAATGTGGGTGGGGGATGAAGGAATGGGTGGTCAGTTGGAACTGGGAAGCCGGTGGGAGGAAAGGGGAGATGCTAACTGAAATGGGACCCCCTTCTGTTGCTCTGTGCCTGACATTCCCCATGTGGCACAAGAGTTCAGGGTTCATTTGGTGACCATCCCTTCAGGCATATTGGGGCTCCATTGAGCTATGATGCTCTGTCCTCTCTAGGTGGGGCCCACTGTCTTAATCCACTTTATTCCTCCAACTTTCTCCCCAGCTGATCCCTATTGTAACCAAGGGCTTCTGTTTTCTTTTTCTCCACTTCTCCATATGATGGAAATTTTGTGTTAACCATTTTGTGTTAATAGGCTATAAATAATTTAAATAGAAATAGTTGAATGCAATTGTATTTATACCACTGACATTATGCAGTTAGGGTTTTTTGACATACAAGGATTTCCTTTTTCTTTTAAACTTTTTTCTTTCCTTTCTCTCTCTCTCTCTCTCTCTCTCTCTCTCTCTCTTTTCCTTCCTTCCTTTTTTTTTTGGTTTTTTGAGACAGTTTCTCTGTGTAGTTTTGGTGCCTGTCTTGGATTGGATCTCGCTCTGTAGCCCAGGCTAGCCTCGTACTCACAGAGAATCGCCTGGCTCTGCCTCTCAAGTGCTGGGATCAAAGGTGTGCGCCACCACCGCCCTGCTGGGCTTCTCTTTTCTTAATTTTAAAATTAACATACATGCTAATGAATTTCATGATGACATTTTCATACATGTATGTCATTATACTGTTCTAACACTCAATGTCCACGTCTCTTTCCTGATCATTTCTACCCTTTCATCAGCAACACTCTGCCCCCCCAGTCAGTCAGTCCCCCTTCTCTGTGCATGTATTCTACGAATGAGAGGACCCTTGCAGCATTTGTCTTTCTGAGTCTAGATTATTTTATTAGTACAATGATCTCCAGGGCTATCCATTTTCCCACAAATGACATATCTCCCTTTTTCCTTAGGGCTAAGGAAGACTCCTCTGTGGATATAGGTCACATTTTGTCTTCTTGGTTTGAGCCTAGCCTTTAGTGGCTGAGTTACCACTCCAGCCCTATAGACCACATTTTCTTGGTTCATTCATACATCTCTAGCCACTGATGGGTATCCAGGCTGATTCTATGTATGTTGGCTATTGTGAATAGTGCTTCTTGCTATTATTTCTTGAGCTACTAGAGTCCTTACCACAGTGTCCTTGCCTAGTGTTTCCCCCTATGTGTTCTTGTAGCTTCAAAGTTTCAAGTTTTGCATCGGTGTCTTTGGTTCATTTTATAAACGACTGTTACAAAAGATAAGAAATAAATAGGGACCTATCTGAACCTATACATTGCTTTTGGAAGGATGGCCATTTTCACAACCATCCTACCAATCCATGAGTGTGAGAGGTCTTTCCATCTCCTGCGATCTTTTTCAATTTCTTTCTTTGCCGTTTTAAAGTTTTCATTGTACAAGTCTCATTTTTCCTGGTTAGATTGACTTCCAGTCATTTTTGAGGACATCAGTGAGTGGATGGGGCCAGGAAGGAAGAGCAGGTAGCATAACTTGGGTGTCTGAGTTACTTTTGGTGCATAGAGTCCCCCTTTGGGGTGGGCTGTGATCAGGGAGGGAGACAGAGTCCCTGGTGGGGGTGGGCTGTGATCAGGGAGGGAGACAGAGTCCCTGGTGGGGGTGGGCTGTGATCAAGGAGGGAGACAGAGTCCCTGGTGGGGGTGGGCTGTGATCAGGGAGGGAGACAGAGTCCCTGGTGGGGGTGGTCTGTGATCAGGGAGGGAGACAGAGTCCCTGGTGGGGGTGGTCTGTGATCAGGGAGGGAGACAGAGTCCCTGGTGGGGGTGGGCTGTGATCAGGGAGAGAGACAGAGTCCCTGGTGGGGGTGGGCTGTGATCAGGGAGGGAGGCAGGTCAGGAGGAGGTGCTGGCCTTTGACAAGCTGCTGTTTGGTTGTTAGATCATTCCACATGTGATGGCTAGAGCTGAAACACAGAATGCTATAGAGCATTTGTCTAAGTACTAAGAGTGTGAATTACATGATTTGCAGGTTTTCATTTACTTCTGTTTCTACATTATAGATATCACAGTGGGGATTTCTGAATTATTGCCTAAAACCTCTAGTTAGCCAGTTTCTTGAGATAAATTCCTGAGGAATGATGGATGAATCAAAGATATTTAATAAAATTTTCTATGGTTCTAGCTTCCAAATAGGTGGGAAAATTGGGCTGTATTTTTAGCACAGAAACACAATAGGGTTTCAGTAAACTGGTTGTCTGTTGAGGTAATGTTTTCGTTAGATGAATGCAAACTGGGAAAGGTACTGGCTTAAGTCTTTGTTATTGTTAAGCATGTCATTCCGCTACTGATGTCGTGGTGGATTTGGTGCGGGGACTGAACCCTGATGCTCTAGTCCACTTAACCCTGACCACTGAGCAACCCTGAGCATCTCCCTTCAATTTCTGTGGAACCCTCTGAGACCCGGTACCGATCTGAATCAGTTACTTGTTCTTTGGCGCCACCTTCTGGGAGAAACACTCATCAGCCTGTGGGGTCCAAGGTGTGCTATGGGGGTGGAGAAGGCTGAGCGAAGGCTTGCCCTGGAGAGAGACTGAGAGGAGAGTCAAGTGACACGTATGCTGAGGTCAGCTCTAAGGCCTGGACTTCTCAGTCAAGTTACTTGCAATTGGCTGTTTCCTAATGGTCAAAACTGATCCTGGCAGTTTTCTTTGACTTCCAAACATCCCTCAGGCTACTAAAGCAATTTCTTAGCTCTTTCCACATAGAAAGTCAGGTTTCAGCACAGGCTAGGTGCGCAGGGCCTTCACCTTTCATCTGCTTGCTGCCTAGAGCTTTGTTCTTCTAAGCACTCACGTGCACCCTGTCAACTCCATGCCCGGAGCAGGCCATGCTGTCCCGCAACTTCAAGCCTTTGCTCAGACCTCCATTCTCTGGAACAACTCAAAATTTCTCTTCAAGACACTACTCAAATAGCATCTCCCTCAATAAGTCTTCCTCAGTTTTTCTGGGAGAAGGTAGCCCTTGTTGGGCGCCCTGATTGCCCAGAGTACATGGTAACCATGTATAACTGTTTGCCCCACCCCTTGAACTAGCCCGCCCAGTGTCTTATTCATATTGTCTAGCAGAGGGTCTGGCATGCTGCAGATACTCCTGAAATATGTGTTGAATGAGTAGATGAATGTGATTCACTACTGTAGACTTTGGAGGCTCACTAATTGAGGGAGGATGTCTAAGGAAGATATTTTTAAATGTGGCCTTGGAGCTGGGGCGGCAGGGATGAGCTCCAATGGGAGGCAGGGGATGGATAATGAGACCTTTTGTGATTCTTAGGTGTTTCAGATCCTGGAGGTAGATCCCTAAAACCAGTTGAGTTTATTTTAGGAAGGAGTGTGATGATGTCATCCCAGGAATGCAGTTAAGGTTTGGTCCTGCTGTAGAAGAACCTGAGGAGAGTCACACACCGGCTGTCATAAATGAGTGGACCAGGAATGGGCAGGATGTCCAGCATGATGGGAGTTCCCCTGCTCAGAAGACTGCCTTTTGTCTGATTTCCAGGATCACACAGAGGCTAACCTGTGAATGTTGAGTAGCCCAGCACCAAGAGCAACAGGTCAGTTCCTCTTCCAAGACCATCTCGGGGGTGGTGTGGGCTGTGCTGGGTGTGTGCAGCTCTTAGAGAGCAGAGACCCTCAGTCTGCCTGTTCTGGAGAACATGTGCAGTGTGGACGAGCATCCCAACGATGTAACTGTGGCCCCACAGTGGTTTGGAATTCCAGAGGACAAGCATGTCTTTGGGCTTGTCCACAAACACAAAGAGACTAATCTAGGTGTAGCGATTGTGTGATCTTGGTAAATTCCCTAACCTCTTTGGATTTCATGTTTCCCTCAGGAGAACGAGGCAGTGATGCCCAACTCCTCAGGGTCCTGCGTGAATTAAATGGGATAATGTACAAGAGGCTTTGCCTGTCATTCAGCTGGCACAGAAGAAGTGAGACGTGGGGCTGTTATGATGGTTGTTTGCACAGGGTGTAGGGAGGGCAGTAGCTCCCCATTACCTCTACCTCTGTAGGAAGTTTGGAGTAAGAGACCGTGGGCATCAGATGGACAGTGCACAGAGCTGTGAGAAGGCCCCGGGATTACAGAGACCTTGCTGGGGAGGCGGAAGTCAACTCCTAGAGAAGATGGCATGTGGACGGTGGTGGGGACAAAGATATCAATGCCTATGCTGTCTGTACACTCCAGTGAGAAAGAAAACGTGAACAGCCTGATGCCCAGCCTGATTCTCCCGTGAAGCATAATTATTTTAGTGTTCTGCTGGTCCCATAAAGTAGTTCACTGTAGGGGAAGGGATCTTGCCTTTTCAAGGATGCCAACATTTTCGCTGTGAACAACAAAAACAGTGTCTTGCTTCTAACCATCTTTTGTTTGTTCTGTTTCTTGACAATTAGGAGGTAGGAGGCCACTCCTGGACCCAGTGAAGGGACTTAGTCTGAGACCAGACAGGTAAGTCTGTTGAGGGTAGACACTGAGCCAAGTTCACACGGGGCCAGTGAGGGCATGAGGAGGCCCCTTTTCTGACACAGCACAGGAAAGTGGGCAGGAGGGCAGATGTCTCCAGGAGGAAGGGCCCACCCTGTTCTGGGCTTCTGCAGATTGGGTCCTGCTCCCTCCCCACAGACTCTCCACTGTCCCCCACGCCTCCTCCTCTGCTCTGCAGATCTGCCCCATATACCCTGCTGGAACCAGTAGTCATGCCGGACACACCCGTGGAGGACTCCCTCTTCCAAATCATACACTGCTTCCACCACTATGCTGCCCGGGAAGGGGACGTGGAGACCTTGTCCCTGGAGGAGTTGAAAGCCCTGCTCCTGGATAGCGTGCCTCGCTTCATGGACACCTTGGTATGTTGGGTCTGGGGCTGGAGTGGGAGATGAAGGGAGGACCGAAGTGCCCAGAACGTGCTGTTTGTGGGGTTGGAAGTGAGTGGTGAGGTGGTGAGGTGGAAGTAGCTGACTCCCAGGAGAACCTCCTGTTCCTGGAAGGAGGATGGAAGAGGGAGGGTGTGCAGAGGGCAGGGTTTGCTCTATTGCCTGTCCTTCCCTCCTCTGAAGTCACCTGCTTGGTTTCACTCCAGCCCATGAAGAGCTAGTCTCTGAGACTTGGCCTGATACCACAGCTGCCGATTCTGCTGCCTCCTGTGAGCATGGGCTCAAAGCTGTTCTCTGTTCACAAGCCTCTTTAATCAGTGACACCTGCCCTAGACTCAGACCCTCTCGGTGAGGCCTTGAAGCCTAAGTCCCTTCGCCAGTGCCTCTGCCGTGAGCCTGGAGTGGGTAACTTAGGCTATGGAGGCTGCCCTCGTCTGGTGGGCATGGGAAATAGAACCTCTTCCACTTCCCAGGCCTCAGGCTTCTTAGAGCTGGGTGGGGCCAGCTGGGCTTACAGAGCCTGCTTGTCTAGTCTGTTAGTCCTAATCCCCAACTACTGTAGTTCTTAGAGACTGCATCACGGAAGAAAAGTGTGATGCTGCCTTCTGAACTCTATGGTGTCCCAGGCTCTCCGGCCTGCCATCTCTAGAGGAAGCGAGACTCAACTCATTCCTCCAAAATATCTTCTTCACATACCTCCTTTTGAGAAAGAATGTAAAAGACAACCTCACTCTCTCTCTGGAATGTTCCTCTGAGAGCTCAGAAGGCAGCGGGGCGCGGAAGTTCCTTACTAATTGTTTTTAGGAAATCCTTTCCCTTCTGGGGAGAACTCCTTGAGGGCTTTCCTAGATTGCCCAGCCCTGCGATCATGGAGCTTGGGTCTGCCTTTGCTGTAGGGCTTTGGGAACAGACACAGGGGCACAGCTGGCAGATTTGGTAAGGATGGGCATTGATGAGGGTTCTGGTCTTCTCTGGTTAGGAAGCTTCGTGGATGTGATGGGGTTATAATGTGATGGGGTTATAATGTGATGGGGTTATAATGTGATGGGGTTATAGGATGGAGGGGCTGCTGCAGGGAGAGAAGCTGCTGACCCTCCCACGGGGATGGGCAACTGCCCTCCAGGTCTGCAGCTACTCACAAATTACCTTCCGTCCCTCAGCTACTCACAAATTACCTTCCGTCCCTCAAATGCTTCCCAGATGTTCCCTTCTGAACTTGAGCGTGCCCAAGTACACCAGGAAAATCTTGCTGAAACCCACTTTTTCTGCCACTCCCTAGTTCTCCTCCACACCTACCTGTCCCCATCTGTCACATACCTTCTCTCAAAGCAAGAACCCCGACATTCCTCTTGCTCTTCACCCCATCTCAAACAGCCCCTCCTGTGCCGTTCCGATCTCCAGCCTCAGGAACCTCTGCTTGGACATGGTGGACAGCTCCAGTGGCCATTTCTCTGTCCTTCCCTGCATTCTGTACTCTATAGGTGAACCAGGTAGAGTTTCATAAACATGCCTAGGCAGGTAGCACAGCACACAGAGATATGCTCTGCTTGGAAATGGTCCTGCAGTCAGTCACATGGGAGATATGTGTCTGTATGGAAACAGGTTGGCCTTCCCTTTAAGGAGCTCTCAGTGTGGAGAAAGGAGACAGTGTCTTACCTTCAGGAAGACTGTGCAGGTGTCTCTCTAGGAGAGCATGCAGGTAGCTGGGAAGACAAAGTACAGCCACTGAGTGTACGTGATTTGGGGCTGGGGACTCCAGGCTGCTGACTGCTATTCAGGAACTGCTCACAGTTCTCCTGTGAAAGGGCCATTTTTGGTCTCTTATTTGTGCCCATGCCACTTTAGGTCCAGTGACCCAAGGTGTCCACTGACACCTGTGCCTCTTCAGCCTGATTTTGTAGCATGTGGTGATCTCATCACTGACACTCTGCATGAGGGCTGGTTTCCTGAATTCTCCTTGTAGGGGGACAGTGGTGCTGCTGCGATCTTTCCGTCTCCAGCAGGAGGAGGGGTCTGGAGGATAGGTGTACTGGGTGCTCAGTGGTGTTGATCCTCTTTGTATTCCTCAGGGCCGCAGGCAGCCATACTACATCACGGAGCTGTTCCGGGCGGCTGACAAAAACAAGGACAACCAGATCTGCTTTGATGAGTTCCTGTACATCTTGGGCAAACTGGTGAAGGACTACCATCTACAGTTCCACAGGCAGCTGTGCACACACTACTGTGCCCAGCACAGCCTCTACTAGGGGAGGCCAGACAGTCTCCCACCACTGCAGTCTGTTCGGGGAGGTGTGGCTTGACTACAAACAGCTTGCAAAACTCAGCTATGTATTTCTTCTTATGTGTGCGCACATGTATACAAATAATATCACAAACATTCCCAGGACAGACCCAGGGCATGGCTCTGGGTATCCATGAATGTTTGGTGAAAGAAGTTTAGTCTTTACTATGTGGAACATCATTTGGGGGCAGAAGACATGCTCCTGCCTTAGGTGATCCCTTGCTTGAGTGGGGAATACTGGTCAAGAAGATATAAATCGCAGTGGAGACTCAGGTAGTGTGTCTGGGAACAGCAGAGAGCTGTCTGGAAATAAATGTCCAAGGGAACACGTGCGCTTCATTTACTCAGGTGGACATTGACGTTTGAAAATGGGGTAGTGGAACTTGGGCACTTTAGAGGATGCATCAGGTGGGGAGAACTTGGAGACTCAATAAGGGGTTCCTGCCCATTCTGGACTTGTGCAATGTGGACAGGTCAGTAGCTGCACAGAGGGACAGAAGGAAGAGAGGAGAGAAGGAGAGACATGTAAATGTCAAAGTCCAAGTCTTCAAGGACAGATCGAGGGAGAGGAGAGGTCCAGAGTGAGACCCAGGTATCTGCCACTGGTGATCCTGGGGAAGATGATGTTGGTTGTTGACCTGGGCATGACCCGTGTCAGCATGGGAGCCAGTGTGTTAGGGAGCACTGTCCACTGGGTTCTGTGTACGTTGAGTCAGAGGGGCAAGGCAAGGTAAGTACCTGCAAAGCCAGCAATCCAGCCCAACAAAGCAACAGACACCTGCCACGCGAAGAGTGATGAACAGAAGCTGGGAGTTGTCTGGAGGAAAGAGGGGTTGGGTGCGGTGATGACTGATGTTTCTCCTGACTCTGAGCTATTCATGACTCAATGGGCCAAGTCCTCCCGTGGTCCCTGCCCTCCTTGCTACCCAACTCTGTCATTCTTTTTCTTCCTGGAAGCCCAGAGATTAGGGAGGAATTCTTCAGGAAGTGTTTCTTTGCCTCCAGACATTTTTAGTGCCCATCTTGGTGGCCTGTCTTTTCTGAAGACTCCAGATCCCGAGTTTTCTGATAGCAGGGACTCATCACATTGCTTTCCTATGGGCAGATGTTTGCATCCTTTCCCCCTGAGAGAAAGTTCCAGAGAGGAACATACTTCTGTCTCTCTCTAGTTGGCCTAGTGTCCTCATACGACTGATTCAGCAGGTTTTTGAGGAAGGAAATCAGGGAGGGGACCCATGGAACTGAAATCTAGTGACTTAGCCCTATGGCCCTCCTGGGACACCCCGTGATTACTTCTTGTTCATGTCAACGAGCCAGTATCCTGGGTTATTCAGCTGCTCTCAGGGCCCAGGCAGGTCCTGCTTGCTACATTGAAAGGTGGTGGGTCCCATGACCCTTCAAGGTCCCCAAAGCTCTGGCAGTCTGAGCACTAGCACCCACCCCAACTCCTCCTGGCAGCCTCTCCATCGGGCTTGCTTCCTCTGCCCTCCTTTCTTCAGACCCTGGCTATTGAGACACCAACCCGGGAACTCAGTGTTTTCCTGTAAACACAGCTCTAGATTGCTCCACATTGTCAGGTAATTACAAATTCTGCCTTTCCTCCAACATGCTTTCTTCCTTCTTTAACTGAACTCGGAGGTCATAACCTGTGTCCCAAGTCAGGTCTGGCCACCTGTCCCCAGTAAGCCGATTAAAAGAGGGAGGTCACAAGTGAAAGGCAGGAAAAGGAGATTTAACCATGTGGCCCTGTTGGAAGGACAAAGAGACCCAGTGAACTCCCAAGTTCCTGAAGTAAGATCGAAATTTAAATAGCAGTCCAAGGATATATGCACACTGAAGCAGCCCTAGTCTAGGTGTGGTCCTGCCTGTTACTGATCTGGGCTTCAGTCCATCCTGTCAGGCTGTCTGAGAAGTGGTTAGAACACTGTGACATATCCTTCCTGGAGTCAGGCCCCCCTCTGGCTAGTGCCTTTCCCCTCTCCCACCGTGAGCTCCTGGGGGACTTTCCATTTCTTTGGGGTCCATCGTTTCGATAGTCTGTTAGGCTGAGAGACACAAGGTGCTTCTTTAGAACGTCTTTGTCTCGGCCAAGCCAGTTATGATCCCAGCACATAGGGACGGCTCCTGCGGTTAGACAAGCCTGCTACCCGCTTAGAGGGAACTTTAATCTGGTGCTAAGAGTTCACAGACCCACTGCTCATCCTACTGGAGGTGCTGGGAGGAAGCCCTCACTCAGGGGTACCTTTAGGTCCAAGGAACCTGAGGAAAGATGTTGAGTAGCACATGTACCTCAGTTTCCCTACCTGTCATATAGGGATAATTTTACATATAAGGTTCACTCTACTAGGTTTCTGGGACTATCAAAGGAATCAGCAAATGTAGACACACTTTGAAAAGATACGTGTTATTTTGTGGTAAGGTGGTGTATGCCAAATCATATAAAACAGTGCCTAGTGGAGAATAGGTATGAACCATGGGCTGATTATTGCGTGAAAACTTGTGATACAGCATTGAGGAAAACATCCTGTTTCCCAGCTAGAGGCCATCTCACCTCTTGTTATGGTGGATGTATACCATCCTCTCTCATAAAAAAAACGTGATGTGGCTGAATGTGATAGTTATTGCACTGGACAATGGATAAAGGCTTGGGTAGAACAGAGGAAAGGGGATTAACTGTCTGTTGGGGAGGATGGATAGAGCAGATGCCACTTAGCTAGATGGTTAAAATAAGGAACTTGTCAGGACAGCGGCATTCCAGGCTGTGGAGGAAATACATGCTGTCACATCACATCCCAAGCCACCTCAATCCCAGTGTCTCATGGAGGGACTCAGTTTCCTTTGTACAGTGGGGTCTGAAAAAGCATGTGCCTCGTAGGAATGAGAGTTAAGTGGGTTGTTGTTGTAAGTAAAGCACGGGAAGTCCTCACAATGGCACACACCCAGTAATCGTCAGCTATTAGCCTCCACTGTTCACTGCTATTACAGTCGTGGCTGCTGCCCCTGTGCATGCCAGGCACTGTGCTAGGTTGTGGTCAGTTAACAATGCCTCAAGTGGGACAAGCAGAAAGCCTCTCCTTGGTCCTCCTAGAAGAACAGGCTGAGCGACTCAGGCTCCTGTATCTATGACACTAGCAAGAAGTGATCAGGAGCCAGAGGAAGGCTATACGTCCAGATCTCAGCCATACAGCCCCTCTTCCTGCATTACTTCCTGAAGCACCTGATGAGCCTAAGGTGACATTGGACCAGGTTCAGGACTTGGCTCATTGATTCAGATACTAACAGTCTCGCGCGGGAGGTTCACTGTCCAGCTACAGGATCAGCTGCAGAACCATGACACGTTCACGGCTGCCCTCCCCACCTCCAAGTTCTCACACCTCTAGGAGCACTTTGTACATTTTATTGTGAAGGCTCTCTCTCTTCTCCTCTCCTCTCTCTGTTTGTCCTCTCTCTGTTTGGGTTTTTGAGACAGCATTTCATTTTGCAGCCCAGGCTTACCTTGAATTCCTGGCAATCCTCCTATTTTAGTCTTCCTGAATCTTGGAATTAGACACATTTGCCACCATGCCAAGCTTTTTTTGTGTAAGCTTTTTATTGAAACATGCTTCACATTAATAATAGTGTACGATAATCCTACAGCTTATGAGCTCCCCAGCCATGGGCTTTTGACCATGGTTACAGTACCAGGCATAAAATTCCTTCTGTGGAGCAGGCTTCAGAATCCAAGCAGAAAATGGTTAGTTACCTGGTAGTAGTAGTACCCAGTGAAAGTTCCTTTTGCAGTGAGCAGCAGCCAATGAAGGGATGCATAAATGTCAGAAAACTGAGGATAAGAGGCTGAGTGCTCATTATTGCCACCTGAACCGCTGCCTACACTCAGGCAACATTGAAGAAGAGAAGGCAGGAAGAAAGGAAGAGCTAGAGCGTGTGGCCTAGCTTTATGTCAACTTGTCACAAGCTGGAGTCATTCTGGAAGAGGGAACCACACTTGGAAGAATACTGAGTGGCCTATGGGCAAACTTGCCGGTCATTTTCTTGATTGATGATTGATATGGGAGGGCCCAGATCACTGGATGCCACCCCTGTGCAGGTAGTCCTGGGTGTTGTAAGAAAACACGCTGAGCAAGCCATGGGGGAACAAGTCAGTAAGCAGCACTTCTCCATGGCTTCTGTTTCAGTTCCTGCCTCCAGGTTCTTGCCTGGAGTTCCAGCCCTGATTTCCCCAAATGATGAACTATAAGCTATAAGATGAAATAAACCCTTTACTTTCCAAGTTGCTTTTGGCCATGGTGTTTTTTTTTTTTTAAGTTCAAATTCTCTTATTTTGCAATACAATTCAGTTCTACGTATCAGCCACGGATTCCCTTGTTCTCCCCGCTCCAGCCCCCCTCACCTTCCCCCCAGCCCACCCCACATTCCCATCTCCTCCAGGGCAAAGCCTTCCCCACAGACTGAGGTCAACCTGGTAGACTCAGTCCAGGCAGGTCCAGTCCCCTCCTCCCAGGCCGAGCCAAGTGACCCTGCATAGGCCCCAGGTTTCAAACAGCCAACTCATGCAATGAGCACAAGATCTGGTCCCACTGCCTGGGTGCCTCCCAAACAGATCAAGCCAATCAACTGTCTCACCCATTCAGAGGGCCTGATCCAGTGGGGACCCCTCAGCCATTGGTTCATAGTTCATGTGTTTCCATTCGTTTGGCTGTTTGTCCCTGTGCTTTATCCAACCTTGGTCTCAACAATTCTCGCTCATATAAACCCTCCTCTTTCTCGCTAATTGGACTCCCAGAGATCCACCCGGGGCCTAGGCATGGATCTCTGCATCCAGATCCCTCAGTAGTTGGATGGGGTTTCTAGCACGACAATTAAGGTGTTTTGGCCATGGTGTTTTATCACAGTAACAGAAGTACTAAGACACAGAGGGTAGGGAGCAGTGCTGGGAAATGCTGTCTTCTGGACATGACACGGATTTCACATTCATGAACGCTCATAAGCTGTGGTCACCTCCACAAGACCCACACAGGATCAAGCAAGCCAAAATTCCAGAATGGATAGAGGGGATACTTTCCAGCCCCTACCCTTTACTAAGGAGTTACTGGAAGTTGGTAGTTTCTCTGGAAGGGAGAATCATTCTGATTTGAGGGCATGGCCATTTGGTAGGTTTCCCCTGCCTCATACTCTTGCACACATAGACAGTGCTGATTGGATTTACTGGAAAAAAAAAAAAAAAGACAATGTGAAGTTTGGAGGGAGAGAGTTTTTGAAGTAGGGAGAAGTTGGAGGGGTAA